GAGAGACCTTATTTTTAATGGAAAATTTCAGTAAAAAAGGAGCAAAAACTGGGTAATGACCTTGAAGCAGGCTTCACCTACTTTCAGTAATTATCAACCCTGACCAATCTGGTTTTGTTGATACCCTTGCCATCGATTATTTTGAAGCAAATCCCAGACAAGCAGCATTTCAGGTATAAATATTTCAGTTTCTCTGAAAGAGAAATTGTCTGACAGGCAGGACAGGTCACCCGTTCCTAAGCAGCTGTCCCTTCCCCTCCATTCTCTGTCCCTTCCCTTGTCTAGTGATGTCACGGTACTTATCACTCTCTGGCATTTATTTTGTTCATTGTTTGTTATTTCATTGTCTTTCTCCCTCTCCAGTCCCTCAAGTGTGAGGCCCTTGAGAGCAGGGACTCTGCCTGCCTTGTTCCCCTTAAACCTCAGAGCATGGCCTGGTGCCTGGTGCCTGCTAGGAGCACAGTGGTATCTTTGGATAGAAGAAGGCAGAGAGAAGAGGAGCTGGCGTCTGCCCAAGCGTTAGCTCTGCTTGCCAAGGGCAGGGAGGAGGGGAGAGGTGGATGGATGGACATGTCCACTGACGTTCTTCTCATGTGATTTTCTTTTAGATAAAAAACCTACCTCTGTGACCAAAGAAAAATTAATTTGCCCAGGACATGTATTTGAGAAGGACGGACAGTAAGTGCTGCAGGTCAGGGGCCAGATCGGGAGTTTTTGCCACCATGAGTTGTCCAGAATGTAGGATGCCACCTCAACTGGGGCAGGTGCCTGTCTCCAGGAGGACTCAGGGTATCCAGCATACCTGCCCTTGGTGGTGGTCCCCCGAGGTGCTCAGGGATCTGCTGTGGCCCAGGATCTGCTGAGGAGGGCAGGATGCGGGAGATGGTGTCCCCCAGGGAGGGATCCTTTGCTCCAGGCAGCTTTCAGAGGTAAGCCAACATACTCTCTAAATACAGAAGAGTCGGGATAGTGACACCAAGCAGCCATCGCTGGTCACTTAGCCCATGGCCACAGGCATCAGACCCCATGCAGGGCTCCTCACTGCCTGGTCAGCCTTCACTGCAGAGGTTGACCTCATAGAGCTTCGGGTGAACTCTCCTTACCCATGCTGTCTGCTCTCCGGTGGTCAAAATGCCTGGAGTTCAAAGTCATTACAATAAGACTTGTGGGCTACAGTTTGAGTCAAATGAAGAACTCTGTTTGTCTGGGTTGCTCGTCACTGTCCGCCTTTTCTGTGCTTTAGGAAGGTCGTGGTTGATTTCAGCCTGAATAATGGCGTCAGCTTCATGGGCGAACCATTGAAAATCACCAGCAAGGACTGTGTGAGTGCCAGGGTGGGGCTGCAGTGGAGCCCCTGCACTGGAGGGAGAGACACCCTGGGGATCAGGAGGGGAGAACAACACTCCAGGCAGGCCCAGCAAGTAGCTTGTGCAGACAGGTACCTCGGGCAGCATCTCACAGTCAGCCTGGACCCTAAGCACTTCCTCGGGGAGCTGTCCCCCCAACTCAGGCTTGGGAAGTGCCCTGGGAGTGCTTTTACAGGAGCACCAGGGGTGCAGCCAGCTGGCCAGGCCTTGCAGAACCTCTGCTCTCTGTGAACCAAGTGTAATTGAAGGCGCCTGGAGGAGACCAGTTAGAACTCTAAGCCGATCCCAGAAACGGTTCTGAGGATCTGCCCACACTATCTCCCACGCTGCCACCTCCCTGACCCGGGTCTAGTGGTGGAGATGTCAGGGCTCCATCCTGGATTCCAGCCGGAGTGAGTGGGAGAGGCTGGAGGGTGTATGCTAGGAGCCAGAGTCCAGGACCTCTGGGGCTCCTGGGCCCTCCAGATCGGGGTCCCTGGCACAGGGGATCTGGAAGGTGGGCCCAGCTGTGGCCCTGCACAGCTGGGGTGTGTTTGCACTGCACTGATGCCCAAGCTACTGGTACAGCTCTGAACCCACTCATAACTGTCACAGCCCCCGCCCCCAAGCCTGCTTGGGGACACCTGCTGTCATTTTGCAGATGTCTTCAGCCTCCCTTCTGCCTGTCCTCCTCTCTCCTGCTCCTCAGCTGTCCCTCTGCGCTAACTCCCTCTGACCTCTGCAGGAAGTGTCTCCTCTGTGAGTGGGGAAGCTGTCAGGGCTGTGGGGAGGGGCCGGGGACTCAGCTCAGGGAGAGGCACCTGGGAATGGAGGTGCTGCCCCCCGGGCCCCACTCCTCAGAGCTTCTCATCATCCGGGCGCCTCAGCCCGGGTCAGCATGACTTGGGCGACAGAGAGCGTTAGGTGGTGGAAGACGTGTGCGTGGCAGGAGGGACGCCTGCGCCTATGGCCTCCACCGTGTGTCCAGTACCAGCTTGTGAGGGTTGCAGCGGTGCTGACAGTCCTCCATGTGTGTGTCTTCGCTGTCCCTGGACATCCACTCACCGGTCAGCAGCTGAACTCACGCATTCGCCCGTCAGGAGTCCCACCAGCTGACAGCCCGCCCTCGACAGGCGCATTTAGAAAGAACTCAAGAGCAGCCTGTGGCTCTGGGCCAGCACAGGGCCGTCACCGTCAACCTGGCCTTTGCCTCTCACCTCAGGGCCCTGTTTCCTGGGCACAGGCTCTGTCACCCC